TTACTAATAAATATTAAACAATCATTCTCATTACCAGGGTGCGGGAATGTACTGAATATTTGTAATATCTTCTGTTTAGGTACTGAAGTCTCTTTTTAAGAAGTATGGACAAATCCAGTCCATTCGCTTCCGGTCATTGGTATGTTATTTCTTCAGACATTACCTAACAAAATTATTTGTTTGTCTTAAACAGCAATAGTATTTACAAAGCTTATATCTTCATTAGTTCAGAAATGGGTTTGGGGTTATGTGGGTTTGCCATTAGAAGAAGCCTTGGAGATGTTACCACAGATGCAGTGCAAATGCATTTTTCCTGTAGCAGCAGTTGATCCAGAATCAGAGCTTTATGTTCTCTGAAAGAGCAATGCCTTATTATTGCTTGTTTAGCTAAGGCATTACTTACCTGTTTTTAATTCATAGTAGCAAAGACACGTTGATTGTAAATTGGTGTACTTGCTAAAATAGTTGACAATAATAGTTGTGGAACTCAAGAAACAGACAGAGCAAGCTCTCTAACTGCAAGGTTTTTGTAGATCATCTCTAAGATGAGCCACTTCCATCATTTGCTCACTGTACTGGCTACATTGCTTTGGGTAGGAATGGCAGTGGTTGAATTCCTGTTTGTCTTCAAGCACAAGTCTTTGTGATAAGTTCACACTAGGCCCACCTAACTCGAGTTCTTTTTATCTTAAAGATTCCAGCAGAAGATACTGTATCCAAAAAGGTAGCAGCAATCAAGTAGGTTCCTCTTGTGAATGTTGTGCTTTATTTTTCAAGGCCAAAATAATTTTTGTGTGTTGGTTTCTAAAAGTTTGGCTATATTAGGTCTTTTTTAATGTATTTTGTGTTTTTTTGTCTTTTGTCATTACCTTTGTGTGTGTTAAGTTTTCTTGACAAGTGATAAAGAATTATGTGCTATGTGTACTAGTAATTTGTTATCTGAGGTTGCATTTCTTATATTTTAGGAAGGAGAAAGTTACTAATAGTCTTTAATTCCTTTGGATATGTTTATGAGCTGAGGAAGCTTGCTCAGGGTGCATAGACAGGCTATACAAGATGAACAGTGGGACACCCTTGCACATACAGGGCTAGCTTGACCTATAAGAGAAATGAAGCTGTTAGTGTGCACGAAACAAGCAGAGGCATAAATGTGTCCAACAAGAAGTGTTTGTGCATTGCACATCATCAAAATGATTTAAACAGTAACGTGTCCTTTTCATGTTCCAGGCACAAGCTGCACCCCAATGCAAAGTTTGTTAATGCTTATGTTGTCTTTAAGGAAGAATGTGACGCCGAGAAGGCTCTGAAGGAGTAAGTCTCAGTTTTGTTCCTCGTTCCCTGTCGAAGAGATAGTTCAGGGAGATTTGCAGCTAAATTTAAACAATCTCCCTGCTCTTGCTTGAATCAAGATGTTTGTTCAAACTTAAAAGTAACTTTTCATTTTGAATACACTGCATTTTGAATGCAGTGACATTCTAAGTTAAATAACACTCATTTCACTTTTAAAACTTTTTGCTTTTGGCTACAAAAGGAATGGAACAGAAATTGCTAGTGGATTTCACATCAGAGTTGACACCGCATCTAAAACCAGTTCAGTAAGTAAGATGTGTGACTGGAAAAACTCTTTTCTGGTTTGGTTGAGGGGGGGTTATTGTTATTGTTTTTGTTTGGTTGTTTGGGGTTTTTTTCTGTTACAAATAACTTACTGTCTTGTCTCTCTTGTTTTCTTTAGCATGACAATAAACGTTCTGTATTCTTGGGAAATCTGCCATATGGTAGGTCAAAAGTGGGTTGTTATGCATCATTGCTTAACATTTATGGAATATTTTGACATCAGGCTTTTTATTTATTTATATTTAGGATAGCATGTTTAGGTAGCTAAATATCTTTTGCTGGTATTAATTTTTGTTTGTTAATGGAAACACCTAAAGGGGTTGTAAGTTTTTGTCAAGTTCTGCAAGTTGATTGTTTTCTTTACTGTAGGTAGCTCTGCAAGTGCTTTAGTTCTTGTTGTCACTTGATGTTTTTTAAATAAATATGACTAAGTTGCACAGGCCATAGCTTTCTAAACTGTTCAAGGGGTACCGGTATCTGTTGTGAACCAATTTGGAGTGATGGACAGTGATGGCTTCTCATTTTGATGCTGTTTGTGAGCCACAGGGTTAATGACTGTGTCCAGACAGCTCTTGGTGATCAGTTGTTACCCCTGTGGAGGTGTTTACCATGCAGCTGAGGTCAATGCTTGAGGATTACTCAGCTGCTTCTGAGCAGACTGGAGAGCAGATGAAGGGATTGTCATTGGGTATGGTCTTTGTGAGGGTATTAAGGAGTCAGGGTGCTCGGTACAAGCATCTGTCTTGGGGGTCGCATGGATGTGTAAATACTCTGGATGAAGGCTTGCCCTGTGCCTGTGGCCTGGTGCAGGGCCTGTGTCATGTACTGTGGCAGTAACACTGGAACAAACAGGCATCAGTCTATAACACTTGACCTGTCTGAAAACCTTGGCAGGTGACAAATCTGATTGTGGTGACATTACTAGTGCCTCTTGTGTAGAGCTTGTGTCAGGACTGTGTGTTCCTGTGTACGTGCTGCAGAAAAAAGTTTGGACATTACAGGCCCAGGGAAGTGGTCACAGCTCCAAGCCTGACAGGGTTCAAGAAGTGTTTGGACGATGCTCTCAGGCACATGTTGTGATTCTTGGGGATGTCCTGTGCAGGGCCAGGAGTTGGACTTGATGATCCCTGTGAGTCTGTTCCAACTCAGAATATTCTATGACTCTGTGATTTGCCATGCTCTGAAATTACTTCAGCAGCTTGAACCTTTCTCAGCACATCTAAGTCCCATTGCTGTAGTTACACCCATCATATTAAGTTCAGCCTCTCCCCTTAATAGAGAGATGTTGATATCTATGTAAGGGGATTGTATGAAGCATAACTGTTCAAAAAAGAGAATAACCTGTATTTTTGTGATGGTACATCACACTTGTCTGTTTGTGTAGGCGTGAGATGGAGAAAGCATTGCGCATCCAGTTATTATCAAAATAATTGTATAGCAGCTGTGGTTGGAAGCTTCTCCCTTCTCCCCCATTCAGCTAAAATTCACGGCTCAGTCAGTGAACATTTGACTTGAAGAACAGCCAGCTCAAGCTCATTATTATCAGCATTAATTCTTAGAAAGAAATGTTGGCGTAAGAAGGAGCTACAAAAATATAGCAGGCATCATAATTTCCACTATGTTCCAACCATAAATGAAATTATTTGAAAAATTTATTTCAGTCTTTGCCTTCATTCTTATTTTTGATTTATGTTGTACTCTTCAAAGCAGGAGAATGGGTAACTATCAAAATAAATAACCTTTTATAAAGTCTGCATTGTTAACTTGCTGGGGTTTTTCTGAACCACTGATACCATGTACCTGAATTGGTGAATATGAAATATTTGGTTTTGGGCCTGGCTTTTAAAGCTGTGCATGTTGCTGAAGAGAGATCTGTTCCCTTGTGCTTGCCTGCAGACATCCTTGATGATGCTGTGAGAGAACACTTCCATGTCTGTGGAGATGTCGTGGGAGTGCGAGTTGTGAGAGACAGAAAGACTGGCCTGGGAAAAGGCTTTGGATACGTTCTCTTTGAGGTATGTGTGCATGGCCTGCTACAGCACAGTGGGAATTATTCAAAATCTGAATTGGCATCTGCCTTTATAGCGTTTTTTTTACCTTTTTAGTAACTTTTTCAGGTTTGTGTATGCTTGTAGGTGTATGATGTTAAATGGTAGTGCTGTTGTGTATGTTAAAAGCAGCTTGGAAGACCAGTTCTGTGGAAGCAGACACAAAACAAACTATTGCAGATTTTGTACAAGTAAAAGTTGTAAAACGAGGTGAAAGAAATGACTTTAAGGGAAAGTCTTAAAGGAGGGACAGATGAGTTTGTTTGGTATAACTGCAATGTTCTACTATTTCTTATGTGTCTAAATGTGAGTGGAGTTCTTTCCTGCAACTGGTTTGCTTACGGACTCTCCATTTTTGAGTCAGTACAACTTGCTTTCTCATAGTCTCCCAACCTCATCTTCCTTAGTGTATTTCCTGCAGCTCAGTACCTCTTTTCTCCAAGTTTCTCCTTCATCTCTCTGCACCTGACTTTTGTGTTCTGTAGCCCATTGTCAAGTATCTGTGCCTCAGTGTGTGGGCTGCATGGGTGTGCTGGTGTTCCTGAGCAGAGACCTTGTGTCATTCACTAGAGCAGTTTGCTCTTCATTGTAAAATCCTGCTTACAAATTTTGAAGAAAGGTAACCATTAATTTGAAAGCAATGAATTGGAAGTAATGCTACTTTTAAACTCCATGTCTGTTTTTGTAGAACACAGATGCTGTACATCTTGCTCTGAAACTCAACAACTCTGTTCTGATGGGAAGAAAGATACGAGTGCAGCGCACAGGAGACAAGAGGAAAGCACCACAGAAAATTCCAGGCCGGTCTCGTGCTCCCAAGGCTACAGATAATACCACAACAAAAAAGAAGAGCTACTCTGATGATTCTTTTGTTGGTGAAAAAGCAACCCCGTTGAAGAAGAACACTAAACCAAAAAGACTAAAAACTATTCCTAGGAAAAAAGCTGGAAAAAACAAACAGAAGTTTGATAAAAATCGAGCAGACAAAAGTGCTAATTAGTGTCACAGAGATTCATGTATGTAAGAGTGTTTTGTCATAAATTTTGTTTGCTAATACAGCTGTAGTCGTTCTTGGTGTTTGCTCTGGGGCATTTGGCTTCTCCCAGCAGGTAGCATGAGGTGTTGCATGATTTTATTCTGTGTTCCAAGAATCCACTTCCAGCTGAGGTCTTGCTGCAGAGGTTAACTATGAACTGTTTCTTTTGGAGTTGTGTAGGATTACCCAAAATGACTACAGGAAAAGCGACTCACAGCAGAGTCGGGTGTGATGAAATGGTAATTGTTACCAAGATACACTTGTTTTGCGGGTTTGGTGGTTGTCCAATGGAAGGAAGGGCAATGGAGCTGGTGAAGGGTCTGGAGTGCACGTCCTATGAGGAACGTCTAGGGGTGTTTAGTGTGGAGAGAAGGAGGCTTGGGGGAGACCTCATCACTCTCTACAACTACCTGAAAAAAGGGTGTAGCCGGGTGGGGGTCAAGGTAACAAATGATGGGATGAGCTATGCCAGGGGAGGTTTAGGTTGGACATCGGGGGGAATCTCTTCACAGAAGGGGTGATCAGACAGTGGAATGGGCTGCCCAGGGAGGTGGTGGATTCACTGTCCCTGGAGGTGTTTAAGGAAAGACTGGATGTGGCACTTGGTGCCATGGTCTAGTTGACAGGGTCATAGGCTGGACTGGATGATCCCCAAGGTCTCTTGCCCCCGTGCCTGTGTCCCACTCAGACGTTCCTGTTCCCGCCCTTCGCTCTCCCGGCGCCCAACGCCGCTGCTGAGGCCACGCC